GGAGGCTGATTCCCCACCGAGCAGAGCCCTGCCTGCAGACACACACGATCCCTACTTGTGGTCTGTGAAAAAGGTTCTGGGCCTTTGGGGACTGAAGCTTGGAGGAGGACACTGAGGGCTAAGGGGCCGTTTAGGTTTCTAAGCTGCCACATTAGCAACTCGAAAATGACCTTGAATTCGACAGTAAACACAACTGCAGCTTCCATCCGAGCTTTGCACTATTTTGCTCAGTGCTCCAAACGCTCCCCTTTCCTACTGTTTCTCTTCCGGCTGACATGGACACCCACAGGATACAGAGTGCTGTAATGCTTGTGTCGTTGCCATAGCAACAATCTTTCCTCTACCTGGCAGGCTGGAAGCCCTGCAGCGGCGCTCTGTGCTGGGAATGCAGAGAGGGGCCTTGATCGCGCGGACGCACATGCACATGCGCACTTTCTCAAGGACGTCACAATGAGAATCAAGAAACAAATTACGATGCTGATGCCTGGTAACACACAATTAACGTAAATAAAAAAAGAGGGAAATCACTCTTTTTTAATGTGAGATCTTCCAAGACTTCAAATCCCAATGCATCTCTCTTACGCTGAGGCCGTAAGCAGAACGGTGCCACTAGACTGTTCTAATAAAACCTGTAAAGGCACTGAACGAGTGCCTGCGGTTTCCAGGAAGAGAGGCTCGAGGCTTGCACCCCCATGCAGACTGTGAGCCCCAGGCAGGGGACGGCGGCTAACTGGTGGCCACAAAACACATGACAGCAGGCAGGATCACTGTCCTAATAAAGCGCTTACATAAGCACCTGTTAAAGACCTGCAGGCTTTTTCTGAAAGTGCCATACGGACAGTTTACTGTGTTGTCAGGTGCTCCTCAGTCAGTCCTGACTCACAGTGACCCTGTCTAACAGGCCCAGGTTTCCAAGGCTGTCATCTTCACAGAAGCAGACGGCCACATCCTTCTCCTAAGGAGCTGCTGGTAGGTCCAAACTACCAGCCTTTCAGTTAGCAGCCAAGCACTTAACCACTGCACCACCAGGCTCCTTCAGCTTATCTTACAGAGGAGACCTGAGGAGGCCATGTCCTCACTGAAGCCTGCCTACTGTCCTCACAGTGGCAGGGGGCAGTGGTCAGGGCCCCGGGTCAGAGTCAGCACCCTCCCACTAACACCAACAAATCAACAAGACAACGTGTGGGTTCCTGTCTTCAGTGTGTGACCGCCTCTGAGTTCTCCAGCACCATGTAGTTTTCTGGGGCCGCCAGGCCTTTCCGGCCCCCTCTCCTTGAATGTCATCCCTGTTCTCGGAAATCCTCAGCTCCTGTGGGATTGATCCTTCAATGAGGAACACGAGGGCAGGGTGCTCACAGGGAACAGCAGGTCCTTCCTGCACTCAATCGAGGGAGGCCAATGTGATGTGGGGGGCGTTCCTCAGAGAACACACTGTTGCGCAGAAAATACGGCCTCCAACTCGACCCCTCACACCAGAGCCTGTTGAGGAACTAGTAAGAACTGAGATTTCTGAGCACAGGATTTGAAAAACTAAAGTAAGTGACAAGGCCATCTTACTGCACCCCAGGGGATTTCACACCGAGACCACCACAAGGGCACAACATGAGAAGCAGACGCTCCCTCCCAGGCATTCCTCATCACCAGAGCCTGCAGCACGCCACCCAAAGTCCAGCACCCATCACCCCCCAGAGTAGTGACTATGCTGTGACATGCCGTGCCAGCACTGGACTAAGCGTCTCACCTGCATCCTGCCGTTCACTCTTCACAAAAGCTCCCCTCCACAGACGAAGGCACCACGGCTCAGAGGCAGGATGGCTTCAGGTCCAGGGCCCCGAGGCGCTGAGCTTCATGCAGCATGAGCTAGTGAGGGTCCAATTCCCGGCCTTACCCCCGGGTGGCTGGCCTCCCTTTATTTGGAGCTTCACAACATGGGGCACAGTGCTGGGCCCAGAGCGGCACCTCAGGGACCCGGGTCACCTGCTGTGGTTCTGCACCACCCTCACAGTCACTGCCATGGGCAAGTCCACTGCTGAAGCCACTGTCAACCTGTCTCACCGACGTCTTCCTCTCTTTCACGCTCCACTTTACCAAGTACGACGTCCTTCTACAGGGACGTGTCCAAAGTACGTGAGGTAACTTTCGCCATCCTGGCTGCCCATCTAACTGCCTTTAAAATACACCACTTTCCCCAGCGATGCCTGGGACAAGCATCCCAGCAGCGGATGAAGCAGGGGCCTGAGGTTGCTCATTGGGAAGCGGACAGGACCTGCTGAGATTTGTTTCCTGGGAAGGTGGTGACATTGGGACTGTCTAGAGTGGTGTCACCAGGGGTGAGAAGGGAGGCTGGCTTGGGGAGACAAGGCAAAGCACTGCCAGGGTCTGGGGTTGGGAAGTTGGCAGACATCCCTTGAGGCCACAGGGGCTGCCGGGACCTTTCATTGCTCAGGGTCGGCTCTCCGAATGGAAGGTTCTAGGCTGCCTAGCTCTGAGATGCAGTCAGGGTGACGGGCCCTTGACCACTGACCACCATGGAAGTCCACCTGCACGCTTCTCAAGGGAGAAGACCGAGGAAGCGCAGCAGAAGATGGAACGGCGGCACCATCATGTCAGGGTAGGCCCACAGGCCCCTCCCTGCCTCTCTCCTCAACACACCAGGCAGTGCACCAGGTTGGGACTGGTTTAACCATTCTGTGCCCAGTAAGAATGGATGAAGCAGATGAAGTCAGAATACAACCCTCTGCAGGGCTGAGGGGAACCAGGTCAAACACCTAACTGTACGACATTTTAACTGAACTCATGCCTATTTTTACCTTCTGGTTTCTCAAGTAGGGGCCCTGGTGGCACAGTGGTTAAGTGCTTGGCTGCCAACTGAAGAGTCAGTGGTTCAAACTCACCAGCAGCTCTATAGAAGAAAGAGGTGGCAAACTGCTTCTGTAAAGACTGACAGCCTTAGAAAGCCTTGGGGCAGCTGTTCTCTGTTCTATAGGGGTGCTGCAAGCTGGGATCAACTCGAAGGCAGTGGGTTGGCTTTGGGTTTTGCTTTCCGAGGTACCTACTTCCCTCAGTGCACACCACAGAAAAGCCCAACTCGCTGCCATCCAGTCGAAGTTGACTCACAGCGACCCCCACAGCCTTTCCTTAAGGCCGTAACTTTAACTTCCTTTGCCATAACTCTTTATGGAAGCAGACTGCTTCATCTTTCTTCCGTGGAGTGGCTGGTGGGTTTGAACCACTGACCTTAGCAGCCAAATGTCTTAACCACTGCACCCCCAGAGCTCCTTGCATATAACAGAAAACATGGTATTTATTTGGCTTTTAATGGGAAGGCAGGGTGGTGTGACAGAACACATCTGCCACGACCCAGTTTCCAAGCGAGCAAGGAGGTAAGCAAGATTAGCTTTTTGTCACTTCTATTCTTATCGGAATAAAATAAACCAAACCAAACCAGGGCCCGAAATAGCCAAGTTTTATACTTAGCAGTGAAGGTGTTACGAACTCAAGCGAGGGGAGTGTACGTGCGCGTGTGAGATCATAAACCCGAGTCATTCAGGACCGAGAAGCCTGTGAAGAGCATGTCTGCAATGCTGGTCACCATGGGGATTCAAAGCGTGGAGACAAAGACTAAGACCACACGGAGTCAGATCCTGACACCTCGCTGCTTCCTTGCCAGCTCTGTGCCGTCCTGGCGGAAGGATACTTCCACAGGGACAGGGTTTGCCATCCCCCTCTGGAGGACGTTTTGGACAGAGGGTATCTACTCCAGGTTCTCAGAAGCTTGGGGTTTGCCGCAGCTCCCCCATTCACATCACCCGACTTCAAGCCTCAGTGTCCACTTGGGAGGGTGCTCAGAGACCAAGATGGAGCCACCTGAAGACGCTGGGGTGCATCACTGCAGCGGCCCGAGGCCTGCAGCCCTTCGCCTGAACCGCTCTCCTTCTAGGAAGGTGACTCGCCCGGAGGGAAGCAGGCAGGCCCCATTCCCTGGGGAAGCCTGCCACACCCCCACTGCTCTCCTGGCCTGATGGTGCCGCAGGATTCCACTCAAGGGAACGAGCCTTCGTGGGGAGCCTAAACACCGCCCAGTATCCAGACATTTGGTTCTTGTCAACGCCAGTCCGGAACGAAGGTCCTTCCTGGTTGCAGGAACAAGGGGGGCGTGCTTCCCTCCCACGGGGTCCCTACGAAGGCCTGCGTCGGTGCAGAGCCCCTGGTGGGCAGGCCTTAGGCGGCGTCTCCCACAGCTGGAGCTGCCCGGCACCAGCAGCCGGCGGAGCCCCAGTGACATGCCCCTCACACAGCCGGCCCATCGCGAGAGCTGCTGCAGGTGCCTGCTGTTCAGCGCTGAAGGAGGTCAGTGCAGACCAACACTTTGATTACGACGCAGTGACAAGGAAGCCACAAAGGCTGGCTGGAGGACGGACAAGGTGGAAAGAATGAGTAGGGAAGGCAGTTGGACGTGAGAAAGAACCAACGAAAACAAACCGGAAGGACTCCAGGAGAGGACATGGGTCCACACAGCCACAGCCACGCGCGCCCTCACGGCTGCCCTGAACTAAGTCTGGTCCCGATGGTCTCACCCCACAGCACTGGCTTTGGGAGTACTCCTACACCCCCACCTCGTGGCTTTCTGAAAGCCTCTCCTTACACACATCTGGGTTCATGAAGCCAAATTACTGCTCTAGGAGGACGGAGAGAGATTCAAGGGAACGAGCCTGACCCTATGAATAGCTTTCCCAGGAATATCCCTTTCACATCTCTCTTTATCCCGTCCTCCGTAGTCACACACATGCACACCACACGTTCAATCCATTACTAAAAGCAGCACGCTGCCAGCAATGACAGATTCTTTAGCTTGGGCCCAGGAGGGAGCTCAGGGCCCTGCCAGTACCACGCCATCACAGCAGAGAAACAAAGCCTGAGCCCCGTTTCGTCAGCAGCGCGGCCCTGTGTTCTTCAGGGACCCCAGGCAGGCAAGCCCACCTACAGAGAAAGCTTTACTATCAGCCCCTCGTCTCCAGGTGACAAGTTCCAGGAAACTGAATCAGAGTTCCCATCACCGGCAGAGAGGCTGCCACGAGGCAGCGGATGCCCTCCGTCTCACACAGGGCGCATTTCTTAAACAACAGGGCTCCTCGGGGACCAGCAGGATTAGCGGCTTGGCCATCTCGCTCAGGAGAAGGCAGAAGGGGGGAATCTGCACGAATGAGAATGCTGCCATCTCCGGTGAATCCCAAACGCCTCAGCGCTTCGCCTCGGTGCTGAGCCCCAACGCCTTCTGCCAACTCTGCTCTCAAGGCCCGTTTTGCTGCCGTGCGTTCTCTGCAAAGGCCCCAGCAAACAGAAAAGCAGTCCCTTTCTTCGTGAAGCATCAGTGCCACCTAGTGGCGACTCTGCAAGGGCGCCTAAAGGCAGGCAGTTCAACGCCCGGTTTCCTCTGAAGGACAGGCGAGACACCTCTGTGACCACTTGGCCGCCCGCTCTGTGTGCCGCTGATGTTCCGGCTCCCACGAGACAGCTGGCACCTTATTTCCTTGGTGCTTCCACTCAGCACCCGCAGACCCTACCCTAAGGGGTAGTGAGTCTAGAACGTGAACGTGACTGTCTGCAGGGACACAAATGGACACAGGTGGATGCAAGTGAGTGCACAGACATCCTCTCAACTGAGCAGGAGTCAACAGGCTGACAGCATCCTTGAGCCGCTATGACACAGCTCCCGGATGGCCAACCTTGGTTTCTGGCGCTCCCTGCTGGGCTCTCTGACGGGTGCCTGTTCCCAAGGGCACAAGTGCTTCTCACTCCTCACAGGTGAGGACCTGGCAATTTTTCTCCATCCTGACTCCAGTAACTAACCAGATATTCTTGGAGAACAGACTTTGTGCCAGGCACTGGGAACACATGCATCTCGGATGGCTCCACCATCAAAGTAACACGGACTTTGCCTTCCCTCTCCTGATACAGCTGTCTGTTCTGCTTCCAATTTTGTGAATGACATCACTGTCCACTGAGTTACCCCAACCAAAGAAACCGACAAGTCACTGGCCACCCCCCCAGCCAGAGCAGCCCACTAACCTCACATCTGGATTACCTTTCACTCCTGTTTTTTTCCTCCACGCCCAGAGTCCCAGTCCTCATTACCCCTGACAGGTGGGGCAGGCTAGGTTATGTTGTCGGGACAAGCTCAACCTTACCACAAGAGCAATCTCTCACTCCGGCTGTGTCTCCATCTGCTCATTTTGCTCGAGTGACAGCTCTCACATCCACACTGCACTGGCCAAACGAGGCTGCCTGGCCATGTCCAAGTTCAACAGGGCATGCATACTCCCCACCCAGGGAAAGCAAGCTGAGTCTCTGGTGCTTCCCCTGAAAGCTTAAGAACTTCTGGAAAACTCAATGACACCCAGACTGGAAGTGTCTGACGACACTCTCTGGGTGCTGTCGCAGACTCGTGAGCCTCGTGCTTGCCTGAGACGGTCTATCGAGAATAACGGCCCTGCTCTTTCGCCTTCCAAATCCAGTAAGTACCTTCACTGGTGAACGCTAACTCAACCAGGAAACGTGCCCCTAGCACCTCCTTCCACAGCCAAAGAGATCCCCTGCTGTCACCCTCCTGCCTGGTCAGCTCTGCTTCCAGGTTCCTCAGGACAGAGCTCCAAGCCCGACAGGGCCCAGTCCTCTGCTCCTGAAGCTGCCCTGTGGCATCCCCGGCAGAGCCAGAGCTGGCACGCCGCTGCTCGTGGCCTAGAACACCCCCCCCCCCCCGTGTACCTGCTGCCTATCCCTTCCCTTCCCTCCATGTTTTCGCCTGACTCTGCAAGCGCAGGGAACATTCGGTACAATGCCAGAGGCTGCAGGAGCCATTGTTACAGCAACAGTCTGGGGTGGGGACCAATTATTAAATGGCAGTATCAGTTCTCAAGGAGCTCTGGTGGTGCAGTGGTTAAGGCATTTGGCTGCTAACAAAAAGGTCAGTGGTTGAAAGCCAATAGACACTCCACGGAAGAAAGAAAGAAATCTTGTGTAAAGATTTATAGCCTTGGAAACCCAGCAGGGGTGGCTCTGAGTCAGAATCAACTTGACAGCAGTGAGTTTGGTTTTCTTATATTAGTTTTTAAGAACGCATCCAGACTCAAAGGGATCAAAATAGGAGATCCTGGATAGAGTGGGAGAAAAATGTAAAAAACCCTCAAAATTATAAAAATGACCAGGCTTTACTGGTTGGAAAGAGACTGGTAAAACCCCCAGTACTCCTCCAGTCACCCTTCAGCCCAACAACTGCCCACTCTGATAGCTTAACATTCAGCCAACAACAGACAGACCTATGAGGTGAGCAATTACACCAAGCAAGTCCACTCCTTAGACCAACCAACCAGGGGAGATCAGAAGGGCAGCATTTACACAGGGAGACAGCTCAGAGGACAGGAATGCACAGGAAAGAAGGACACATGGAAAGGGTACCCAGAGGCAGGAAGTGGGAAGTCAGCTGTTACATTATGGGGAAGGTAGTCAAAGTCATGAAACAAAATGTATGTGAACTGCTGTAAGGAAAATAAATTTGCTCTGTCAACTTTCACCCAAATCACAATTGAAAACAAAAAAAGACTGCATCAAGACTACCAAAAATGTCAATGTGAAAACCAGAAGGAGCCAAGGTTTTGTCAATTAACTTATTTTCTGCCTTCTTCCCACTGTGACTTCATTTCTTCACTCCCTCACAAGGCAGATTTTGCCACATTCCACCCTGATGATGCCATTTGAGAAACGTGGCTTAATAGTTACACATTTGTATGGGCAGATGCCAATACCAAGGGAAAGCACAGTGGCTTAAAAAAGCTGACAAATTTTAAGACATTCTTAGACAGGGTAGGAGCAAAGAGAAAAGATTTTCAGAAGCGAGGTGACCAGACAGCGCTGGTCTCATCCACAGTCAGTTCCTGTAAGGAAGGGTATGGCGAACTATCTACCGGACAAAGTCAAATGCCACAATGACACATGGCCCTTTACTCAAAGATCTGTCTCCTGGACTTTGAAAATGGGAGGAAGGGGCCAGGAATTGGGGACTGTGAGTACAGTGCAGGAAAAAGGACAAGCAAGAAAAATGCTGGTATAAAACCTTCACTGAATACCTCCCAGCATCTGTCTTCAGAGGAAGAAACCCAGAAAAAGGAAGCCACGGGCAGCCTGCATCTCTGCAACCATGACAACCACCATTCACTCACAAGGACCAAGCTTCACTTGTTTCATGAAAAAGCAAGCAGCCAAGTCCTTCCATGGTTCTGTATGAGGGCAGCCATACGGACCATAATTCCAACATCCACCGAGGAAACACTTTGCCTCCTTACCTTTCGGCAGCGAGGATTGGGACAGCTGAACCTCTTCACATCACTGTCCAAAAGAGCAGGAAAGCTACAGGAGGGACACCTGGGTCAAAGGAGAGAGACCAAGTTACATGGAGTCTGATTAGCTTCCATGGGGGTATTCACACTAAGGTGGGGTTCTGAGTTGGAAGGCCTCAGTACCCTCTCCCCTTTTAAAACTGTATTGTGGTGAGAGATACATATCAAAACATTTTCCATTTTAACCATTTTTTAAGTGTGCAATTCATTTAAAAGCAACGATAAGCCAAACCAGTTGCCATCAAGTCAATTCCAGCTCGTCATGAGCCCTGGTGTGTCAGAATAGAGCTGTGTTCCACTGGGGTTCCCATGGCTGATTTTTTGGAAGCAGACAGCCAGACCTTTCTTCCGAGGCTCCCCTGGGTGCACGCACACCTTCAGTCTTTGGGTTGGCAGCAAGCATGTTATCTGTCTGCATCACTCAGGGACTCCCGCAGGACAACCTTACTCCTCAGCTCTTCACTAAACAGGAACAGAGCACCTCCCTTGTGGTGGCTCTCACCAGCAAACACAAACACCAGCCTGGGGTCTGGTTCAGTATAAACCACTCAATCCTTGTTTTTCAGCAAGAAATACCAAGTGATGTAGGAGACACAGCTTTGCTAAAGTATTCTCGTTGTCCTGTGAAGTGCTCAGGAGCTCTGGGGGCATAGTACCTAAGGCACTTGACTGCTCACCAGATGGCTAGCGGTTCAAACCCACCAGCCACTCCTCAGAAGGAAGACTGGGCAACCTACTTCCGTAGAGATATTGCCTCAGAAACCTAAGGAGGGGTCACTAGGAGTCAGAGCTGGCTCTATGGCAGTGACTCTGGTTTTTTCGTTTGGTCAGGTGCTCAGGAGCTCTGGCGACGTACTGGTTAAAGGTATTAGGCTGCAAACGAACAAAGGCTGGTGGTTTGAACCCACCAGCGGCTCTACAGAAAGATGGGGGCACTCTACTTCCATAAAGATTTACCACCTTGGAAACCCAACAGGGTTGTTACATGGTTATGAGTTGTAATTGGCTCGGTGGCAGTGAGTTTGGTTTTGGTTTGGTGGAAATGCTGAGGTGGTCTTCGGAACGGAGAGGTAACAGGTGAACTCACCTGACGAGCTCATCGGCGTAGGCTGCGGCGACCTCTTCCTCTGCCTTCCGCTCGTAGTATTTGTACAGTACAGTCTGGGGAAGCACCTTCTCCAGTTCGCTGGTCGGGAAAGAACACGTGCAGCTGCCTTCCATGCAGCTGAGCTCAGACTGCAACGAAAAAGAAATGCAACTCATCCTCCAGAAAATAAAAAGCCTGCATGGTATACAACTATGAGACCAGAAGAACTAGATGGTGCCCAGCTACCACTGTCATCCACTTGGAAGGGATGTAGGAGATCCTGGATAGAGAGGGAGAACAATGTGGAACAAAACTCAAAATCATTTGGAGGGGGAAAAAAAAAAAAGAAGGTGGGGACCAGGTTTGCTGGTCCAATAGAGCCTGGTGGAACCACTGAGACTATGGCCCCTAGCTGCCCTTCAGGTCTGGAATTGAACCCACACCTGTGGTTTCCAGCCAAACAATGTACAGGCATGTGAGTTAAACATTTACCTCAAGCAGACACACGCCCTGGAGAGAACAATCAGGGGAGAAGGAAGGGCTGCTTATGCGCAGGAAGACAGCTCAGGGCGCAGGAGAGTATGGAGGGATGGGCACTGGGAAGAGGTAACTATGGGTAGGAAGTGGGAGGGGAGATGTTGGATTGTAAACTGTGGTCAATGACGTGAGACAAAGTATTATGTGAACTGCTATATGGAAAGTGAATTCGCTCTGTAAATCTTCACCCAAATCACAATAAATATAATTAAAAATATATATATATTTAAAAAAATAAAATAAATAAATAAGAAAAAGCCTCCATGGGTACATGCGTTCCAACAGAAGGCAGCTGACCAGGCTAAAAAGACAGGGTCTGGGACAACAAAGTCAACATCCCTCTGCCCCCCACCTCGGAAAAATTAAAGCTCAAAACAAGGAAATCTTGAGACAAAAACACAAACTCCAAACCACAAAGGAAACAAAGGTCACAGTTCAGGGTTTACTCTTAGTAAATACTTCCAACGTCCACCTCCCCAAAAACCCACTGCCATCAAGTCAATGGCAACTGACAACGTCCCAAAAGGACAGAGTGGAATTGCCTCACAGCAATTTCAAGGCTGAAAATCTTTACAAAAGAAAACTGCTACATCTTTCTTCTGCAGAGCAGGTTGTAGGTTTGAACCATTAACCATTCAGTTAACACCCAGTTCTTTAACCACGGTGCCACCAGGGCTCCTTGTAAATGCTCCCAGAGGGCTTAAAAGGAGCCTGCCTGCCCTCTATTCCTGGCTGAGTGTTCTATCACTGCCAACCAGCCCTGTTGGCTGACAGCTTAACTTCTCTTCTGTATCCTTGAATATCCACTACCACCATCTCCTTGAGAGAAGGGGGCTGAAGTCTCCCACTACACTGTGGGTTTGTCTGTGTCTTCTCCCAGTTCTATCAGTTTTGGCTTTCCGTGTTTTTCAGCTCTGTTGTTTGGTGGTCCAAGTTTAAGACTGCTGTGTATTTTTAGTAGAGTTATCCTTTTCATCATCATGTCACATCCCTCTTTATCTCTGGTAATTATCTTTGCTCTAAAGTTTTCTGTCTTTTAATCCATTCTGTCAATCTGTCTTTTATCACAATAATTACATACAATTACTGATATGCTGGGGCTTCAGTCTACATTTTACTGTTTGTTTCCTCTATTTCACTTTTTTTTTTTTTTTGCCTCCCTTGGGTGGCCTGAACATTTGCAAGATTGTATTTTGACATGTCAATGCTTTTGGCGGACCAGAAAGCTGTCATTTGAACAGAACAAGGGGATATACCACACGGTTTAAAATCAGGAAGGGAGTGTGTTAGGGTTGTATCTTTCCCCCATACTTATTCAATCTGTACACTGAACAAATAATCCAAGAAGCTGGACTATAAGAAGAAGAACGTGGCACCAGGATTGGAGGAAGACTCAGTAACAACCTGCGATACGCTGACGACACAACTTCGCTTGCTTAAAGTGAGGATGATTTGAAGCACTTTCTGATGAAGACTGAAGACTACAGTCTGCAGTATGGATTGTACCTCAATATAAAGAAGACAAAAATCCTCACAACTGAACCAGTTAGCAGCATCATGACAAATGGAGAGAAGATTGAAGTTGTCAAAGACATTATATTACTTGGTTCTACGATCAACACCAATGGAAGCAGCAGTCAAGATATTACATAACATATAGCATTGGGCAAATCTGCTGCAAAAGACCTCTTTCAAGTGCTGAAGAGCAAAGATACTTCTTGAAGACTAAGGTGCACCTGACACAAGCCATGGTATTTTCTGTTTATATGCATGTGAGAGCTGGACAATGAATAAGGAAGACTGAAGAAGAGTTGATGCTTTTGAGTTGTGGTGTTGGTGAAGAATATTGAAAGTACCATGGACTGCTAAAAGATCTAACAAATCTGTCCTGGAAGAAGTGCAACTGGAATGCTCCTTGGAAGTGAGAATGGCCAGACTTCGTCTCACCTACTTTGGTCATGTTGTCAAAAGGGACCATTCCCCAGAAAAGGATATCATGCTTAGTAAAGTCAAGGGTCAACAAAAAAGGGGAAGACCCTCAACAAGTTGGACTGACACAGTGGCTGCAACGATGGGCTCAGGTCCAGCGAGCATCATGGGGCTGGCGCAGGACCGGACAGCTTTCACTCTGCTGCACACAGGGTCGCTATGAGTTGGAGATGACTCGATGGCACTAACAATAATTGTTTTTTAATGTACCTCCTTGTGTATTTTTATTGGTCGCACTAGATATTCCATCACACATACATAACTCGTCAGTCTACTGGGATCAAGCAAACTTTACAAAACCCAAGGGAAGAATCAGTTACCACATTAACTGTATTTCATTCTTACCATTGTTCTCCCTTCATTCCCATGTTCCCATGGTTTCCCTGTTTTTTTTTTTTTGGTAAATATATCATTTCCTTTATGTTTTGAAGAATTTTCCTTAGCAATTTTTTTTAGGGAAGGTCTGCTGGTAGCAAATTCTCTTAATTTTCCTTGATCTGAGAAATGTCTTGATTTTACCTTCATTCCTGAATGTTCATTCAATTTACTGGGTACAGAATTATAGGCTCAACTTGACTGCTCCTCTACTTAATGTATTCTTTCTCACTAGCTACTACAAGATTCTTTACCTGTCTTAACTGTTCCAAATTTTGATTGAGATGTGTCTGGGCATGGATTTCTTTGGATTGATCCTGTTTGGGTTTCAGTTAGTCTCTGGAATCTGTAGGTTTATGTCTTTTGCCAAATCTGGGAAACTTCAGTCATCATTTCTTCAGTGGCATTCCTGGGTGGTGCCAAGGGTTAACGTGTTTGGCTGTTAAGCTTGAATTTATCCAGAGGTGCCTTGGAAGAAAGCCCTGGTGATCTACTTCCAAAAGATGACAACCACTGAAAACCTTACAGAGCACTGCTCTACTCTGACACACAAGGAGTCCCCTTAAGTCAGAGGGTAACTGGTTACTGGCTCCCTGGAAGTGCAAACAGTCAACGCACTTGGTTGCTAATCTAAGGTAGGAGGCTCAACATTACCCAGAGGTACCTCGGAAGAAAGGCCTGGCAATCGCTTTCTCAGACCTCAGCTACTGAACACTCCACAGAAAGCAGTTCTGCTCTCACCCATGTGGAGTTGCCATTAGTTACAATCAACTCAAATGCGACAGTTTTTTTCTTTACATATTTATCCAACTCCAACTTCTTTCTCCTTTCCTTCTGGGCCTCTGATCACCTGAATATTAAGTCTTTTGTTATTGTGCCTGAGGCCATGAGGCTCTTGAGTTCATTTCAGTCTATTTTCTCTGTTGCTGTATTCCATAATTTCTACTTCCATTTGGTTCTTTCTTGTATCTTTTATTACTTTCCTGAGACTTTCTGGTTTTTGTTGTTTAAAGTTAAGTTCATAAATTGCTCCTGAAAGCAGCTTCATAAAAATGCCTCAAAGTCCTTGTCATACTGTCTTTCTTCATTCAAGTTGAGAGTTTGCTGGTTGTTAACATGATCAGTGGTTTTGGATTTTATCGTGGATATTTTGTGTACTAGTTTAGAAGACTCTGGCTCTTAGCTCCATCAGGTGTCTGTGAAAACATGCTGGTGAGGGGAAGAGAGCACTGGCTGTCTCCTGAGGGGAGGGTGGGAGCCCAGGCCCCTCACTCGGCCTCCAGTGACATCCTGGAAGCGGGAGAGGAATGCCTTCCTTCTAGGTGTGACTTCCAGGCTCCTTGGGTGGTCTATCCTGACACTATGGCAGTGGAAGAAGGGGTGACAGGGATAGACACCTCACTGGTGCTTGATGGTGGCATTTGTGAGGTTTTCTTGTGATTACATGCAAGTATGCCACAAAGCTATAATGTGTCCTTTCTAAGACAGCACATCAGAAAAGACAAGGTAGTCATGTTACCAGTGATGTCAAAAAGACCACACTCTTAACACTGTATCAACACAGACTTGAGGTGCAGACAATACACATCTATTAACTCATAGCTGCGTAGACTAGAGACTAACCCAGGGCTCACGAGGCTGAAATCAATACACTGGGCTACCTTCCTTCTGGAAGATCTAGGGGCGAATCCGTTTCCCTGCTTTCCCAGCTTCGAGAGGCTGCCCACATTCCTTGCCTCCTGGCTCTCATCCTCCATATTCAAAGCCAGCTCTTTCTTGTCACCTCCCATCGCAGTGACCATCCCTTCTGTCTCCCTCGTCCACCTTTCAGGAACTTCTGATCTCTTGGGCCAACCTGGATAATCTAAGGTAATCTCCCAATTTTCAGGTTACCTGGCTGGCAACCTTAACTCACTTTGCCATGCAAGGTACCCTCCACAGGTTCTGCGGATCAGGATGCAGACATCTCTGTGGGGCTGTTATTCTACCTAGCACAACCACGCTTCTGTAATTGCTCACAAATCCTGGACTACACCAAACAGCCTCTACAATCACTGGTTTCACATGATGTGATTACCGGCTGGGTTTTGGTGAAAGCAAATTTGGTTTTAAAGCGTTCGTTAAGACAAAACAAAAATCCTTACAACTGGACCAGAAACATCATCAGGATCAACAGAGGTAAGAGTGAAGTTTTCAAGGCTCTCATTTCACTGGATTCACGATCAACACCCAGGGAAAGAGAGTCAAAACATCAAACCACATACAATAACAGAGAAAAGAAAAAAACACTCAAATGATGTATTCCATTGGGTAAAGCTGCTGCAACAGACCTCTTCTGATGCCTCTGATTACAGTGTTGGTGAAGAATAATTGACACACACCGTGGTCTGCCAAAAGAGCAAACAAATCCGTCTGAAGAATTACAGCCAGAATGCTCCTCCGTGAGGATGGAGACTGTCCCATGTGCACTGGACGCGCTACCCGCGGGGCCCAGAGACTGTCCCACGTGCACTGGACGCGCTACCCGCGGGGCCCAGAGACTGTCCCATGTGCACTGGATGCGCTACCTGCGGGGCCCAGAGATTGTCCCATGTACATTGGACGTGCTACCCGCGGGGCCCAGTTCTTGGGGAAGGTGTCAGTGCTCGGTAACGTAGAGGGACCAGTCAGAAAGAGACAGACCCTCGGCAAGACGGACTGACAAAAATGGCTGCAACGACGGGCTCCAGCATGGTAATGACCGCGAGGACAACACAGCACTGGGCAGTGCTTCGTTCTGTTGAACACAGAGTCACTGAGTCAGAGCCGACTCAGCTGCACCTAACAACACCACAACAATATTCCTTTTCATGTTGTTATGCTGGTGACTATGGTCTTGTATAAAATAGTTATTTTAATCTAAGTATAAAATCCCTGAAAGTATTTGGAAACAAAATTGCTGCTCTGACATACTCCAACAGGCGGCAGAGTTCTTTTCTAGTCCATCTTTCACTGAGATGAGGAGCAGGAAGGTACATGAAGCATGGCGCTTGTCTGCGTGGGGGCAGAGGAGAAGCATGCTGCTCCCTGAGAGAAACATGCAGCATTAGAGCCTACAACCACCCAAATCAGAATGCACTTCACCCCCAAAAAGGCACTTCCACGAGGCACTGAAACCTGTGCACAAACCTAGTGTCCGCTAGGTTTCTGAGAAAGGGCCCCATGAAGGGAGGGGGTACACATTACCCACCTTTCCAGACCCGAAGACTGCCTCCTGAGCGTATCTGATGAGGCACTCTTTGCAGAACAAGTGAGCGTCAGCACACTGTGTCAGCTCCTCAAAGGGAAATTCCCCATAGCAGCAGCGGCACTCGATCAGCTGGCCATCCTGCAGAGCACGAGAAACACACATGTGGAATGATCTCCTGTCAGACACGGTGGCCACACCTCATTCCCTCCCAAAGGCACTCTAAGGGGAAAACACTTTAGAAGCCACGGAACATGCTGAAATGTTTATGTTGGAAAAGTCCTGTCAAGATGCTAGTCCAACACGGCCAGCTCACGTCAGCCTGGAGTGAAAGACAGTAAGAGGCCCGTGCTTTTCTGAATTCTTTAGAGTAATGTACTTCTGGATATTAACAGAATTTTATGTCTCTTCAAGACCCCTGGTGGCGCAATGGTTAAGTGCTCGACTGCTGACCAAAAGGTTGGCAGTTTAAACCCACTCAGCAGCTCTGTGAAAGAGAGACCTGGAACTTTGTTCCCGGGAAGGTCACAGCCAAGAACTCTATAGGGCAGTTCTACTCTGCTGCACACATTTGTTATGAGCGGACACTGGCTAGCCGGCACCTAACAACAAGATATGCCTACTTAAAGCCACATGTATGTAAGAAACATCATACATCAAGAAATAGTACACTCATGAAATAATGGTCTTCAAACCCCGCCATCCTCCACAGCCCATCTCTGACATCATTGTTTTTGAGTCACCAAACCAAGTGTGGCTGATCCCATCTGCTTTGCTGATGTCTAGAACATTGTGCTCTGAGGAGTCCTTCCTACAAAGTTATCCTCGCCATAAATTCCAGGCTGTCAGAAGAACTATCTCATCGGCAACTCAGATCCCTGCTTGTAGGGGTTAGGAACCAAGGGGCATGGGAGATGTCACCCCAACAGGTTCCCCAAGTCGGATTTGTCTCTGGTTGTGAGACAGGAATGTGAGGGGGTCAAGCCTCTGATGGTAACGTGTAGTTTATCTTAAAGGGCCACAACAGTGTTGCTAAAGCAGCAGCCTCAAGTAGCACGAGTAACAGAAAATTTGCTCTTTAAATGACATGCAACAACCAACCCAGTCATTACTCTGTCGACAGAAAAGGCTGCTATGGCAGTAAGGATGGCAAAATCATACCAAAAATCCACGTGGCCCTGAGCTGGGCACACCCCTTCCTTTTAACTCTGGAAGTGACATCCAGACTCTACATTTTCTTCTGAGAGTCTCTCTAATGAATTCTAGACAATGTTCTTTACAAGAGCATCTGTCACGGTCCTTCCTTTCATCCTGACCATGTCTGCAATCCATGAGCAGGGACTGCTGTGGTTCATGGATCTGACCCAGAACTAAGCTGAAGTCAGAGTCAGCAGATCAACAGGAGGTTTACAAGAACATATCTGCCATGGAAATGCTGAGAAAATGTGCTAAGAGAAACCAGCCCACAAAGGTACCCAGAGTCAACGAAGTAGGTGAGACTTCAAACTACCTTTTGATACTGTTCTTCATTCATCTGCAGGGCAAGCAAAAAGTCTTCATGCTGAGAAACCAAAAGAGAGGAGGTGCAGGTACATATTTAGTAAAGGTGCCACAAACCATCTGGTTTTTATTTACATAAACCTAAAGGGACTCTATTATTAACAGTCATTTCCTCAGTGACACAACACAGTGGTTTAAAAAGTTACTCAAGAACAGATTTAAAGTGAATCAGAAAAAATGAAACCATACAAGGACTAGAGAATATGGTAAAATGTTTCCTAACTCTGACTCAAAATGGAGACGCGTTAAGGGAGAGAGATGACCCAACAGTTCTGAATAGCAAAAAATAGCATAAGCAAGCAGAAAAGCCACAAGGACTGCTATCACGGAAGATACTATTGCGAGCTGACAACCACCCGCTGCCGTGGAGTTGACCCTGACTCCCAGCGCCCCAGGAGGACAGAGTAAAACTCCCCCATAGTGTTTCCAAGGCTGTCAGTCTTTACGGAAGCAGACTGCCTCATCTTTCTCTCAAGGAGCAGTTGATGGGTTCCAACCACTGACCTTTTGGTTAGCAGCCAAATGCTTTAACCACTATGCTACCAGAGTTCCTTGCTAACAGAAAAAGAGCTACTAAAATTTAAGAGAAAGATCAACACCCTGACAGGAGATAAGAGAGTTCACACAAAATAGTGAAAATGGCTCTCAGAAGCATGACAACATGCAACATGCAACATGCCAACATGCTGCATCTCACTCCTGAAAGGAGAGAAGCATTCAGTCAGACTCAGGTGTCATTTCATGCCTATCAAAATGGGCAAACCCCCAGTCTGTTAACACACTAGGTGACAGCTGTGGGGACACAGGCACCTGACGTGGCAGATGAGAACACGAACTAGGACAACCAGCAGGTGCACCCTCTGCCAGCTGGCCGTGCTCACCTCGGCCATCTCTTTGATTTTCTGCTCATAGAATTCCTGCTCTTGCTGCACGGCTGGGAGGAGGGCCTGTCGGTCATAGGACCGACAGTGTCGCCGCTTGTTTTCCAGAAAGAACATCCTTTTCTCTATTTTCACGTCACCTAGAAGATAAAAGACAGTGCAGAATCATGCAGGCAACTGCTGCGACGTCAGGCCAGCCGTTTCCAGGCTGGGCTGTAGCCCTCCGACTCCCTTGCTGCCTGCTTCATGCCTCTTCTACAGTGCACTCTACCCTTGGGAGGTCTGGACTCCTTCCCATTCTCTCCAGCTACCAAGCACTTCCGGACCTTCCTGTTTTCCTTCTCCTGGTATGCTCCAAAGGAGCTCTGGTGGTGCACTGGTTAATGCATTCAGCTGTTTAATCAAAAGGTCAGTGGTTCAAACCTACTAGCCACTCCAAGGGAGAAAGATGAGGCAGTCAATGTTCGTCAAGATTACAGCCATGGAAATTCCATGGGGGCAGTGGGAGTATGTCCTCTAGGGTCGCTATGAGTCAGAACTGACTTGATGGCACTGGGTTTGGCTGGATTTGGGTGCTATGCTTCAGGTGGAGTCTCTACAATGACCTGTCAATACTGAGCAGTATGAACACAGCCCCATCCACTTTCTGTTCTACTACCAATGGACAGCTGGGTTTAGTTCTGGGTATTGTGATATGGCTGTTTGTAGCTGTCTGTGGGTGAACACAGGTCCTGACGTCCGCTGGGAAGGTTTGATGGGGTGGAATTTGTGGAGCAGGGACTATGCCGATCTGCGGTGTTAGGAACAGTGGTTGCACCACTTTATACCCCACCTCAACTAGCCGTGCATGTGAGTTCCAGGTGCTCCATATCCTCAACATTTACTGCCATTCTGGTAAACGCAAACATGCTTTCCGTGTGTCAGTTGTGACCCTAGGGGGGTATGGACTGTACTGGGTGACACTGCCAAAAGGGGCAGGGGACACCAAAGTGACTGTCTATAACAATTCTGTGCACCATTTTAGCAGAAAAAATTTTTTAATAAAAATATCTCTAAGTTATAATAATAAACACACTTTTCGTAAACCCAGCTTACACTTATCAATGGACCTACAAGGCTAAAACTCTGTGTTAATCTTCCCTTCTAATGCGCCCCGGTCAGAGCTGTCATTACAATCTTATTACAGACGTGGCTTCAGCCGCACAAGGCACAAACAGGTGCTGCTGTTCCTGGTGCTGCGGGCATTTTCACAGTCGTTATTTTTCTGGTTTTAGCCACAATATTCTGGAAATTAGTATTTGCAAATCCATGTCAATAACATTCTTGAGAATGAAGTAATAATTAAAGGAGAAAAATAAAAAAGGTTTCCGTTAAGTTACTAATAATGTTTTAACTAATAATGTAATTCGGTGTACAAAGATTTTACCAAAAATTACTAGTATTCATATAATCTAAGAAATATCACATTTAAACAATTTACAACTATTGAAAAACCCCCTCAAAACTACTGTCACTAAGTCATTTGCCACTCGTAGCAACCGTGTACAAAGTAGAACTGCCTGAGAGGGTCTCCAAGGCTGTCAATCTTTATGGAAGCAAAGCCCAAACCACACCCACTACTGTCCACTTGCTTCTGACTCACAGCGCCCCTAGAGGACAGAGTGGAACTGCCCCACAGGGTCTCCAAGGCTGTAATCTTCACTGCCTCATCTTTCTCCTGTGGAGCAACTAGTGGATTCAAACTGTCCACCTTTTGGTTAGCAGCCTAATCACTATGGTGTTAACCAGAGCTTCTATTTACAACCACAAAAAAACCCCACCTCACTGCTATCAGAGTCAATTCCAATTTCTAACTGACCCCCTCTGAGTTTCTGAGGCAGTAAATCTTTATGGAAATAGATTGCTCAGTCTTCCTTCCAGAGAGCGGCTGCAGTTAAGTAACTTAGGCACTACTCCACCAGAGCCCCTTTTACGACTCCACGCATCACATATTACTCTATGATTAAAATGGTAATACACAGGAAGGAATCTGTATGGCTGGTATGGGGGACGTCCACGTGTGTGAGTGTGTGTGTGTGTGTGTGTACACCCTAAGTGTGCGTGTGTGCGTGTACACACCGTAAGTTACTGCATTGGGAGACACCAACCCTTGTGATGAAGCTGATGTACGTGTTTTTATCTTTTTGACGATTTTCAAATACACAGAAAGCTGGAAAAGTGGTAGCTGGACTTACCCCAGAGAGTGACACTCATAATAACAGGCTAACAGAGCATGTAACTGAGCTGTTCAGGGTTTCTGTCTCTTCTGTTGATTTGGTAATTTCTATTTTTCTAGCTACTGTTGATTCCATCTAGTTTCAATTTATTCAAACACCTGTTCTTAGTAATCTCTTGATTTTAACAATTTTTTCTCTTGCTTATTGTCAGTTTTTTTTGAAATTTTTATTCAGAAAACCAGTTTTGATTTACAAGCATAGTACAGCAAATGTTTAAAAGTAGGTGCTGAAGCCAGGCTGCCAGGGTTGCAAGCTCTGCTCAGTGCCTCACCAGCTGTGTAACCTCTGGCCAGTTTCATAACCTCTCTGTGCTTCAGTTTTCTACCTATGAAACAATGAATAACAGCACATACATCCCTAACAGCACATACATCCCCAAGGGTAGTTTGAAGGGTAACTGAGCTAAACCACGGTGGGTACTCTGAGCAGGGCTGGTGCATATGAAGTGTTCACCAAATGCTACTTAGTGCCATTTTGCTGTCTATTAAAAATTTTAAAGTTAATTTTCCTCTACGGTTTTATCCTATTTCATCTTTATTCAGTTCTTTTCCTAGTTTCTCAAGTTCAACTCACAACCTTTACTTTTAAAATAAATTCCATTTAAGCTAATTCTTTCCATGCACCTCATGACCTTTTATATATAGGAGTTTTTCAATTAAACTTTTTATTTGGAGGCAATTATAGATTCACATCCAGTTAAGAGCTATGTATGTGAGCTAAGTTTTCATTTCCCTGTTACAAATGCCCAAAAGTGCAATGGTAGGCTGTATGGGAGGTACACATTTAGTTTAAAGAAAACACCAAACGGCTTTCACAAGTGGTGGTGTCATGTTACTTTCCCATCAGCAATGAGGGAGTGACCAGCTTCTCTACATCCTCACCAGCATTTGGTGTTGTCATTTTAGCTACTCTGAACGGTGTGTGGTGCTATCATAAATGTTCACAGCAGCTGTACTTGTAATAGCAAAAACAGGCAACAGCCAGGTGACTTTTAATGGGTTAAACAATCGTGGTGTCTCCACACTGAAATGTTGGGTGCTGTCCAGTCAACTGACTCATGGAGACGGCACATGACAGCAGAACTGCTCCACAGGGTTGCAGACCAGTCTTTCCAGAAGCAGATCATGAGATCTTTCTCCCATGGAGCTACTGGGGGAGTTCTAACCACCAACCTTTTGGTGAGCCAGTCCAGTGCCTCACGGTTGCACTACCAGGGCTCCTTATACCATGAAACACTACTCAGCAATAAAAGGCCACAACTACGGATACAAGTGACAAATAAATGAAATCTCCAGCCTTCTGGTTAGCAATCAAATGCCTTAGGCACTATGCTACCAGAGCTCTTAATCCCAATGGTTACAGACTATTTAATTCTATTTATATGTGTGTTGGAAAATTTATAGGAACAGACAGATTACTGTCCTTTTTTGCACCCTTCTCTCCCCCAACTCTGTCAGCCCTGCTAAAGGAGCTATGTAGTATTTTTTGTTTTTTTGACTGACATTCAGTTCACGTAAGACTGTGTAGTGATCAACACACAGGACCATAAAGGCACTGTGGAAGGAACACCCTGTACTCCCTCTTGAAGTCCAGCAACGCACAACCCAAATAGCAGCGTATAGATGCAAAAGAGATTGAAAAGGTAAACAAAATGGGATTCCTGGAATAGCTGAAGGTTTCTTGGTCTATTTCTTTGCTGCCATGAAAGTCTGTGAGTGCCTGTAAGTCACAAACATGAAAGTAAATGAAGGGTTGTTCCCATATCTTACTTGTAGTGTCCTTAAACATAATCTACTAAGTGCAATTTAAGAATCTGAATTTAGAATTAAAGGAACAATGGGCTGAAACTAAAAGATGCCACTAACAGAGAAAAACATCAGATACAGTAAAATGGAAAGGACAAAGGTATGTGAACTAAGAGCAGGGTAGCTGAAAATACCAATGCTTAATGTGAGCCAACAGTGGGACTTTTTTTTTTTTTTTTAAACTGTGATTTGGGTGAAAATTTACAGAGCAAATTCACTTTCCATACAGCAGTTCACAATACTTTGTCTCATGACATTGACCACAATTCATCACATTGCAACAGCTCCCCTCCCACTTCCTCGTAACAGTCACCTCTTCCCTGTGTCCATCCCTCCATGCATTCCTGCCCCCTGAGCTGTCTCCCTGTGCATAAACAGCCCTTCTTTCTCCTGTGATTGTTCTCTCAAAGTAATGTATCTACCTCAGGTAAATGTTCAACTCATATGCCTGTCTTTTGTTTCGCTGGAAGACACAGGTGTGGGTTCGATTCCAGACCTGAGGGGCAGCTAGGGGCCATAGTCTCAGTGGTTCCACCAGGCTCTATTGGACCAGCCAACCTGGTTCCCTCTTTTTTATCCCGCCCAAATGATTTTGAGTTTTGTTCCACACTATTCTCCCTCTCTATCCAGGATCTCCTACATAAATCCCCCTCCCAGTGGTTGACAGTGGTAGCCAGGCACCATCTAGTTCTGGTCTCATAGTCGTATAGGCTGCAGATCGCATTGTGTACCAGTCGCTAGGACTAATTGTTTCCATGAATTTTGGTTTTCTTCATTCTTCTTTGCTCTGGACGAGGAGAGACCCATCGTTGCATCTACATGGCCGCTTGCAAGCTTTTAAGATCCCAGTCGCTACTCGCCAAAGTAGGAGGTGGAACAATGTTTTGTGTAGTTATGTTATGCCAATTGAGCTTGATGTCCCCTGTGACTATGGTCCCAAGCCCACAGGTTCAACTACTCAGTCCCTCTGGGTAGCTGGTTGTGACCAAGAAATGACTACAACCTTGTCCCTTGTCAGCCAACACTATACATGGTCTTAGGTACACTCCCCACTTCATAGACATACCTAATAGTTCAGCTTACAGCGGGACTTGTTTTGATTTTAAAAAGCTAAGGCATTCTTAGGCGCTCTGGTGGTGCAGTGGTTAAAGCATTCAGCTGCTAACCAAAAAGACAGTTGATTTGAACCCACCAGCCACTCAGCAGGAAAAAGATGAGGCAATCTACTCTGTCCTATAGGGTTGCTATGAGTTAGAATCAAACTGATGGCAGAGGATTTAGGCTTTTTTTTTTTTATTTTAAAGGCACTCTCAGTCTGCATGCACTGAAGCCCAGACTCTAAATCCCACTGTTGTCTCCACAAAGCAGACCTCATTTGCAGCACTTACTACCTCCACACTTGGACTCCAAAACTTTCAAAGAGATACTGGCAAGTAAAGAACCCCAGGAGAAGGGCGATCAGATGGTAAAGACGGAACAGAAAGTCAAGTCGCTCCACAGGGAAGACTCAAAAGCACGGCAGAAAACGTCAGGAACGTACAGTATGGCTCGATGGAAAGGAAGCCCTTTCTAGCAGACGCTGCCGTGCAAAGCAGTACTCCCCCTCCTCCATCACTGAAAGTCAGAAGCAACGGCTGCACGACTGTCTGTCAAAGGTGCTGGACGACGCTGTAGATCCGCCCACAGCTGGACAAAGACCTCCTACGTGTGCCCTTATTTTTCGCAGAGCAGTGGAAGCTCTATGTCAGAGCAGCTCCGCTCCACAGCCAAGCTGCAGGGACCCTGATCTCAGCCTAGGTGTCAGGAGGACCTACAGAGCTCCTACAGCCAAACACCTTCTAATTCTGCGTGGGTCTTCCGTTCAGTCACACACGAAATCAAGTCATTTAGTAGATGGGACAGAAAGAGAAACCAGAGAAAAGGAAAAGGAAATACGAGTAGTTGTAACACAAGCTGTACAGGAAAGCACAGAGAACCCAAGCCACTCAGATGAGATCTGCTGTAACATGGAACCGCCCACCCTGCGAAGATCTTCAGTGGTCACGCCACCAATAAGAACAGAATCTTTAAACCATCAAGTAGCTACTGGAGCCACCTGTCTCTCCTGTGCAGGAGCCTACTCTGAAGTGACAGCCCTCAAAGCCAGCCCTCCCACGTGGCTCAGTGACCCCTCTGGAAGAAGCAATCAACCGCTAGTCTGGGGGAGTGCGCTAGCGACACAGCTACGGTATTTCTACATAAATCACACACGTCATACGGCTCTTCCCACACCAAACCACGCACCTTTGTGCATTCGCTTCCTGTGAGCACTATGTGTGTTATACACGTGCGCGTGCACGTGCGCTGTGTGTATGTGGGGGCGGGTTTACTGGCACAGACTCGTCATACATGAAAATTTAGTAATTCCTGTCCAATCTTCAAGACCAGTTTTTCCTTAAGCGTCAGAGCTGCCCCACTTTTCCACACAGGATTTCTCTAACATCACACCAAATGCTTCTGTCACTGTGTACTCTGAGTGGGAAGAAGGAAGCCAGTTTCTGAAGCTCGTGACGTGCCAGCCACACAGCTGACCTGCCGCGGCACTCGGCCTCCAGCCACTGCGTGGGGCAAGGCTGAGGCCCCACGTCACAGCTTCACGCATGGTCACCAACACTCAGTTTGCCATTACCTTGTTCAAATTTGAAATCTATGTAAGAATACTGATTCATTTCTTTCCTCTTTCTTCTTTTTCCACTGGTTTCTGGCGATAGTTCCTGCCATTTTTTAATGGCATCAGAAAAGGCCTAAAAATCAAGAAAGGGAAAGGTTACCAGCGTGAAACACAGGAAAATAGGAACACGTGAAACACAGGCAATCCCCACCTCTCAGCCCAACTCCCCGCCTCCACTGTCCTTCCTGCACGTCTTCCCAGAAAAACATGTCACTGTTTCCATTCACTTTCATTAAATGCTTAGTAGCAGATCAAAGGGTGACATGAGAAAAAGAAAACAGCCCAAGCTGTCCCTGAACCACCAGCACCTCCCGTCAAGCCGACTCCGACTCACGGAGACCCTAGGCGGTTAGAGCAGAACTCGGCTCCCCAGCGTCTCACCAGCTGGGATTTCTCAGGAGATCGCCAGGACTTCTACCCGGGACCCCTCTGGGTGGTCTCCACTACAGCCTTTCAATCAGTAACAAGTGCTTAACTGTCTGCACAACCTTAAGTACAGGTCCCCTCACAAAAGACACTAAGGCATGGCTCTGAGTCCCACTCTACAGGCAGCTGACGTGGTGCCTCTGGTCAGACTCCTCTTCCACTCCACACTAACTTCCCCTCCTCACGCCCCCTTTCACCACCTCCCGACTTCCAGTGCACACTGGAGTTGAAATCCGCACAGCCACGGTCCTCCTTTTTCTTCCAAACCTTCAGTCTCTCCCTCTTTCCTAGGTCTTTCCAGTCATTTAAGTGGACTCAAGCTTTGCCATCCTAAGAAAAAAGAAAATCCCCCCTCTTGACCTCTTTCCATTTTCAGCTACCGGGCTCTCTGTCCTCCTCCTCTCTGCAGCCACGCTTCCCCGAAGGGCTGTCTGTGTCCCGTCATCCCTCATCTCCCACAGGCGGCTCCTCCCCTCTCAGCTGTCTCCAGCCCCACCTTCCCGCGTGCTGAGGCTGAACCCTGTGACTGTGTTTTAGTCCCTGGCTCCCTCCACTTCTCAGCAGGCTCGATGCTTCTGCTCTTCTACATTCGCCCCTCCTGGTTTTTCTTTCTCTGCCTGCTCCTAGGCCATCACCCTCTTCCAACTGATCTCTGTTGCTGCATGCTGTTACATCAATTCCTACTCATGGGGACCTTCCTAGGCTGGAATCTTTATGGGAGCAGATCGCCAGGGTTCTGTCTCACGGAGGCCCCTGGTGGGTTCAAAGTGCCAGCCTTTCAGTTGGCAGCCGCATGCTAAGCTCTGCGCCGCCAGGGCTCCTTCCTTGGTCCTTACATGCTGGGCCTCCTCAGGGCAGACGCCCTGTTGTCCTCTCACCTGAGACTGCTCTAGGGGTCTCCTCCAGGCTGCTGAGGTTTCCTTACACGTCTGATGACTCGCAGATCCTACCTCCAGACACTGTTTCTTGCTGACCATTCAACCACCCAATGAACTGTTTTTACTTGGCTGTCACACAGGCCCTACACAGTGTGTTGGAAATGCAACATGTCCAACATGGCAGTCACGACCCTCCCTCCAAGCTGGCTTCACGGTGAATGCCGCCACCACCTTCGTGCCCCTCCACCCGACTCCTGCCTGGATGACCTGCAGGTTTATGAGTAAATGTCACTTGCTCAGGAGGGCCTTCCTAGAGCCCCTTGGTCCACCCTTCTCCCGTTACACCCTTGCAAAGCGCGCGCTCTTCTACTGTCAAAGTACTCATCATAGCTGTGATTATGTAGTGACTGGTTTGATATTCTGCACCATGTCCTCTCCTCCTAGACTGTGAGCCTCTGGAGGCCATGGCTGTGTAGCAACTTAGGTACAGTCTGCACTAATGCCCCTTTGGTCCATAAAGGAACGGCTACAGGGGACGTGTATGTCTTATAGGAAGATTGCTAATCATCACCTGCAGAACGTGTTTATCCTAGAGAGGCAGCTGATCTGACTACACCCCTGTGGTGAAACGCAAGGACAGAACATAAGCATTTCAGCCACAGCAGAGGGAAGGTTACCTGTTCACCTTCATCTGCCCTTCCCTTCTGTTCCAAGCTCGTAGGGCTGGGAAGCAGAGGGAATGGCCGTTTGCTACATACACCTCTCAGGTGCCAAGGACTGAACTGGAACTTTCTAGCCATGATGTCACTAATTCTCACAACAAGCCTGTGAGGCAGGTATTATGTATCTTATGGGAGAGTAAAGCAAGGGTTAGAGAAAAGCAATTTGCTCCAAGTCAATGTCAGCGAAAGCGAGGATCTGAACTCGGGCCAATCTTGGGGCTACACCTCCTCTCTGACGTCACACTGCCTCTGCACACAGATTCCAGGAACCTCTATCGAGAGGTGGCCCAGCGCCTGAGTCATGGCCACCTTTCCGCCCCCCCCGTCAGTGTCCCCACGGCTGCAGTACCGGCCCAGCCCTGCGTCGGGTTCCTCCTTCTGGAATCTCCACTGTGCAAGGGGTCCCTCACAAACTCCCAGGCACTGATCTTTTATTGATTGATTGATTGTGATTTGGGTGAAGATTTACAGAGCAAATTCACTTTCCATACAGCAGTTCACATATACTTTGTCTCATGACATTGACCACAGTTTACTACAATGCAACAGCTCCCCTTCCACTTCCTCCCCATAGTTACCTCTTCCCAGTGACCATCCCTCCATACTCTCCTGCACTCAGGCACTGATCTTAAAGCCACTTAAAGGTACTTTGGCCATTGGTTCAGATGTCTTCAGGATCTTACCAGCTATAACCTTCATTCTCAGCACTCAGCTGTGATACTACTCATTTATATTAAGTTTCATCTAAAAGTAAATTCCCTCACCTCGCACCAGGATGATTTGCTAAAACGCAGAGATAGATAGGCAGGACGGGTATTATAATCTACATTTTAAGATGAGGTCATCAAGGCTAGATGACATATATCAGCAAGTCATGAAACTGGGAGGTGAACTCAGAGCTCCTGACTAGTATTCTAGTGGCTTTATACTCTCCACGCTGCCACAGCACAGAGGGTCCACGCTGCCACAGCACAGAGGGCCCACACTGCCACAGCACAGAGGGTCCACGCTACCACAGCACACAGAGGGTCCACACTGCCACAGCACAGAGGGTCCACGCTGCCACAGCACAGAGGTTCCACGC